CTCTTCTGAATCTGACTTGAATTTCTGGCAGTTCCCTGTCATATTGCTGTAACCATTTTTGAATTATCCTGTGCAAAATTTTACTTGCTTATGATATTAATAATAGAGTTCAATAATTTCCACAACCTATTGAATCACCTTTCTTTGGAATTGGCACAGATATTGCTCTCTTCCAGTCAGGTAGCCATCTTCCAAATTTCTTGACATAAACAACTAAGAGCCTCCAGAGCTGCATCCATTTGTTGAAACATCTTATTGGATAATCCATCCATCCCAGAGCCTCGTTTATTACCAATTCCTTTAGTGAAGCTTGGATTTCTTTGTTCATTACCATTGGCTCTTGATCACATGCTCCCTCCCAAAATGGCTAAATGTTGACCAATTTTTTGATACAGTGCCTGCATATACCTTCCATCTTCTTTTGATGCTTCCCATATCATTCAATATTTTGCCATTATAATCCTTCCGTATTGAAAGCCAAGGCTTAAATTTTTTCTTCATTTCTTTCAGTTTGACAAATTCTAAGCATGTTCTTTCCCATTAATTGTCCATCTCCAGATCTCAGCACATTTAATTATAAACTTCACTCTTGCCATTTGAATTGCCTTCATTTCAGATCTTTTAGTTCATCACTTCTCATTCACTTTAGCTATTCTCCTTTCAAGAGCAAGTTTCAGAGTCTCTTCTGACATCCATTTGGTCTTCTCTTCCTTGTCTGTCTTCTTAAGGGCCTTTTTCTTTCTTCCTGTATGATGTTCTTGATGTTAACCCACAACTTGTCTGGTCATATACCTATAGGAATGGCTAAAGTAAAAAAGACCAACTATCCCAAATGTTGACAGGAATGTGGAGGTAATGGAGTGCATCCAATTTATAAGAGTTTGGCACTTTCTTAAAAAGCAAAACATACATCTGTCATATGATACAGCCATTCCATGGCTATATATGTACCCAAGGGAAAAAAAAAACAGAGAGTACATGTCCAGAGACAGGCTTGTACATAAATGTTCATAGCACCTTAATTTGAACTAGCCAATAACAAAAAGCTACCTAAATGTATACCAACAACTAGATAAACACTTTGTATTCTATTCATATGTGATAGTTTCAATCGTGTCCTCAAAAAAGATACATTGAAGTCTTAACCCCTGTACTTCTGAATGTGACCTTACTTGGGGAAACAGGGTTTTCTTTGCAGATGTTATCATTTAGGTTAATAAGGTCATATCAGAGTAAGATAGGTCCTAATCCCTGAGTGTTGTCTAAATGAAAAGGAAGAACAAATATGGAAATGGAGTCACACAGGGGCAAAACAGACACTATGTGAAAATACTCTTATAATCCAAGGAACACCAGGAAATGCCCAGGCCAACAAAGATCTGAAAGAGACAAAGGAGAATATCCCCTAAAGCAGAGAGAGAAAGCATAGCCCTGCCAACACCCTTATTTGGACTTCTGTACTCCAGGACTGTGAAAAAATACATTTCTGTTCATTACAGTAACCTACTTTGTAGTATTTTATCATAACAGCCCTAGGAAAGTAAGAGACTGATAGAATACAAAATACTAGAATACTGAGAGGATACTACACACCCATTGCCAATTCCAACTCGACAACTCCATTTGTTACAGAATAGAACTGTTCCTTACCATCTTCTTGGATATAATCTTTATGGAAGCAGATCACCAGGCCTTTCTTTCACAGTGACACCGGGTGGTTTTAAACAGTCAATCTTTAGTAGTCAGTGCAAACCACCTGTGCCACCCAAGGACCTAACAGAATGCTACTAAGCAATGAAAATGAATGAACTACTGATACACAAAACAACAGGAATAAATCCCAAAATAATTATGCTGAATAAAAGAAGCCAAAAAAAGAGAGTACATAATTTTGGACTCCAAGTATATGCAAACTAATATAGAGTGATACATTACTGATTGCCAAAGAACAGGGCGTGGGAGGTGAGAAGGGCATGAAGGTGGAATTGCAAATAGGCATGAGAGAACTTCTGGGGGTGATGGATACATTCATTATCTCAGTTGCAGTGATTAAGTCACAGATGAACACATACATCAACAATTATAAAATTATGCATTTAAAATATGTACCATTTATTGCATATGAATTATGCCTCCATAAAGCTATAGATATAGATATAGATATAAAACCAAACTCACTGCCATGGAGTTAATTCAACTCATAGTGACTCCTCCTTGGGTTTCCAAGGTGGTATCTCTACAGAAGTAGTATGCCCAATCTTTCCTCTGAGGAGTGGCTGGTAGGTTTGAACCACCAGCCTTTTGGTTAGCAGTCAAATGCCTTAGGCACTACGCCTAGAGGTAAGAAATTAGTGATCATAAGGAAGTAACAGGGACCAGATTTACCTTCCCACTTTAAACAACTAAAACAGTATGAATAGATCAAACATTTGAAAAAAATAGTTTTATGGCTTTGGACACCAGGCAGTTCAGGAGATCCATGGATGAATGGAGAGAATTTCCATGAAGTATCTTAAGAAAGTGGGACCCAAATCTGGCCCAGCAGTATCTCTGAGTTGAGGAGACTGAGATCAATTTCAGGGAAGCCAAGGAAGAATTCACAAAACAGAATACCAGAGAAGACACAGTTGCATATAGAGAAAGTTCTAGAGCAGAAATCTTAAGTTCACAACAGTTCCTTCTGATAACATGTCCAAAGTAAATGAGACAAAGTCTCACAATCTTTGCTTCTAAGGAGAATTATGGCTGTACTTCTTCCAAGACAGATTTGTCCATTCTTCTGGAAGTCCACAGTATATACAATATTCTTCACCAACACCATGATTCGAATGCATCAATTCTTTTTTAGTCTTCCTTATTCATGAAAACTATTTTATAATAGTCTGAACATTAACAAAGCCTAAATTTTATCTTCAGAGTTTAATAACTGCTCAAACATTTCTTCCTCAAAGATGCTTAATATTTTATTAAAAAAAAAAATCAAAGCTTCAGCCACAGACTCAGATTGAGTAACCCAGAGATTAAAGCCCCAGATTCACCTGACTCGGTTATTAATCTGCTCTGTAGTCCTGAACAAATCATTTAAGTGCTCTGGGCATCTGTTTTCTTGTCTGTCAACAAAGAAGAGTTGACAAGATTTATTACATCATTTTAGTTAAAATTCTTTGGATTTGATGACTCAGTTAAGAACTTCTCCTAATATCACTATGGACACGGGCAGCCACTGCATTTTCAAGAATTGTTGAAAGAGAGATTGAGAACTCAGCTGCATAAACAAGGGTCTATGTGAACACTTCCTTAAATTCAGGTCTCATAAAGGAGAAAAGGTAACTTATGTGACAAGAAGAGAAGTGATCCTTACATATTGTTGTTGTTCTTAGGTGCCATCAAGTCATCTCCTATTCACAGCACAATGAAACACTGCACGGTCTTATGTCAGCCTTATGACCCTTGCTATACCTGAGCCCATCATTGTAGTCACTGTCTCTATCCATCTCATTGAGGTCCTTCCCCTTCTTGATTGACCCTTCACTTTACCAAGCATGACATCCTTCTCCAGGGAATGGTTCCTTCTGACAAGATGACCAAAGTAGGTGAGATGAAGTCTGGCCGTTCTCACTTCCAAGGAACATTCCAGCTGCACTTCTTCCAGGACAGATTTGTTAGTCCTTTTAGCAGTCAGTAGTACTTCTAGCATTATTCTCCAGCACCACAACTCAAAAGCATCAACTCTTCTTCAGTCTTCCTTATTCACTGTCCAGCTCTTTGATGCATAAGAGGCCATTGAAAATACCATGGCTTGGGTTAGGTGCCCCTTAGTCTTCAAGGAGACATCTTTGTTCTTCATCACTTGAAAGAGGTCTTTTGCAGCAGATTTGCCCAATGCAGTACATCAGCTGATGTCTTGACTGCTGCTTCCATTGGTGTTGATTGTAGAACCAAGTAATATGAAATCCTTGACAACTTCAATCTTTTCTCCATTCACTGTGAAGCTGTTCATTGGACCAGATGTGAAGATTTTTCTTTATTTTATATTGAGATGTAATCCACACTGCAGACTAGTCTTTAATCTTCATCAGTAAGTGCTTCAAGTCATCCTCACTTTCAGCAAGCAAAGTTTTGTCATCTGCATATCGCAGGTTGTAAATAAGTCTTCCTCCAATCCTGATTCCATGTTCTTCTTCATATAATCCAGCTTCTTGGATTATTTCTTCTCAGATTATTTGTTCAGCATACAAGTTGAACAAGTATGGTGAAAGGATCATTACATATTAGAACTGTTAAATATGGCTGAACACTTCTATTCAATAGACTTTAAACTGAGTGTTGTTGTTGCTAGTTGTTATGGACTTGGCTCAGACTCATGATGATCTTATGTATTACAGAACAAACCGCTGCCCAGTCCTGTGTCATCTTGACAAACACTGATATGTCTGAATGCCACAAAATGAAGTGATATTTATCAAAATGATAGGAAATAACTTATGGAAATTATCCTGGGATAAAACTGACATCTAAGTATCTAAGTAAGAGATAGAAATAAGAAGATATTGAGTGTGGACACCATGTCAACAGAGCTAAATAACCAACTTAATATTTTACACATACACACAGACACACCTTTGTCATTTCAGCAACCCAATTTTATATATATATATATTTATTTATATATATATATATATATATATATATATATCTTTATATATATATATATAAAGTTTATTTTAAGCTCTGCTATATCAAAGGCATTGTTGTTTGTTGCCTGGAATAAAATATTCTAAGGATTGTGAAGGAACTCTGGTAGCATAATGCCTAAGGCACTTGACTGCTAACCAGAAGGCTGGCAGTTCAAACCCACCAGCCACTCCTTGAAAGGAAAGTTGGGCGATCTACTTCCATAGTGATACCACCTCAGAAACCCAAGGAGGGGTCACTATAAGTCAGGTCTCACTTGAGAGCACATAGCAACAACAACAGCAAGGATTATGAAGAAAATTTACCTGGAATCAAAGAAATTACTTCCGTTCTTAAGAGGGTCACATTATGACCATGATCTTGAAGAATCCAAGACACTTGATGCATCAGTAGATAATGGCTTCCACCTAAGAAAAATGTACAACTTCACTTCTGTGAATATAAGAAGAATCTGAAGATGTGGGGAGAAATCCAGGAGAGGAAGGAAAATAAAGCAATGAAACTGGACGGTGAGCAGATGGAGAGAAGCATCACCAGTCCCTCCATCTCCCCTTGGTAATCAACCCAGACACTCAGAGATGGACTCCCTAAATCCTTGCCATGTTACAATACTCCACTGATAACTTCTGTCTTGGTGCCCAAGGTCTCCACAAAAATGTGACGAACCTCTCTGTGCCTAGACCTCAAGGAGTTCCTCATCCTGAGAGCTATGCTGCCAAGGGCCTCATGTAGATACTGTGCCTTAAAGAAATAAGTACCAAAGAAAAAAAAACCTCACAGTCGTTGAGTCGGATCCGACCCATAGCACCCCCTCCTTGGGTTTCTGAGGCAGTATCACTACGGAAGTAGATTGCCCAACCTTCCTTTTGAGGAATGACTGATGGGTTTGAACCACCAGCATTCTGGTTAGCAGTCAGATGCCTTAGGCACTACACCACCAGAGCTCCCTAAAGAAAGGAGTACAAAGTAGAAATTTGGCATGGTGTTGTAATTGTGAGTGTGAATGTTTCTTAATGGACAATCCATCAGAGCCATTTCTGTGACCTTCTACTTGGAAATTTATGCTACCATAACCCACGGCCACTGCCATCAAGTCAATTCCAATTCACAGTGACCTATAGGACAGAGTAGAACAGCCTCATAGGGTTTCCAAGTTGTAAATCTTTAAGAAAGAGAGACTGTGTCCTTTTTCGTCCATGGAATGGTTGGTGGATTCAAACCACTAACCTTTTGATTAGTGCTGAATGTTTTATCCACTGCACCAACAGAGTTGCTTTGTGTAGAAAAACGTGCAGCCATCACTTACAGCCAAATTCATATGCTTCAAATGCATTTGGCAGGAAGTTTCAGGAACCAGAAATATGGGAGCTACAAAGTGGGGCCAAGACAAAGACATTGGGGAGAAAGAGGTGGAGCCACTGATTAGAGCCAAAATTTTTAGTGCTTAAATGTATTTGGCAGGCAGCTTCTCCATTTCAGAGGTTGGAGGTTCAAACCCACAGACATGGGCTTAGTCTGCTGGATACTATTTCCACGAGAGATTAGAATCACTGATCACAGCACAATCCCAGGATAGTAAGGAAAGGGAGGGTGCTTTCCATCACACCAGAGTCTCCTTTTGCTAGACTCTAAGGACCCCAGCAACAGAAAAACCAGATCAGGAGAAAATGAAGTAGTAATTGTCAAGAGGGGAAAGTGGTGTTTAGCAAGCAGCTAAAGGGCCTGATGACTTAGTAGCTGATGAAGTGATTCAGTATTTTACATGCAGATTTGTGTGGTCTGAGGTAACATGGATAGACACACTACAAGTCACCCTACATCTCACACTGCCTGCTCTTGCTGTTCATTTTAATTCATATAAGAACCGAGTGTTGAGGAGAATACACACAGACATTCATGGTGACTCTTGGTGAGCAAGGCTTCACCCAGAAGAAAAGGAGAGATTTCTAGCACCTCACAAAGCCCACATCGCCACCACCTTATTGTCTGAGGCAGGGCAACAGCGAACTCTCAAGGGATAAGGAAGTTTTTTCCACCATCACTGCTACTAAGAATTAGAGAAGGGGGGGTGAGAAGGTTATTAATGGAGTTTAAAAGGTCTTTTGTTTCTTTTTTAAAATTATTAGTGATTTAAAGACAATAATAATAATAATAATAATCCCACACTACTAAGGGTTTGAGAGTGGAAGTTGTGGACAGGGTGGTCTTGGGATAGGAAAATGTGAGTGCATTCATGGATTGTGTCATCAAGGAGGGCTCCTGTGAGGAGCTTCAATTCCCTGATCCTCAGTTTCCCTCTCCAGAAAACCAAAGGAGTGGCCAAATTCCATGAACTCTCAGGTTCCTTCCAGCCATAAGTTCCCCAGATGGATCTCAATGATTTTAAAGTGATCTAAAGGAGCCACTATTCCGTCAGGGTGGGTTGAATAAAGGTCTGAGGGAAGTTGCATCTTTGAGGATTCCTTCATCCTGACACATTTTCCCTCTCATCTTTCTGCCTCAGGAGCAGAAGTAGAGGGGGAAAAAAAAAAAAAAAAAAGACTGGAGCCACAAAATACAAAAGGAGCAGCTCATTCCCTTCAACACTTCCAGGCCCGGGGCAAAAGGAAAGGGGGTTCTGGGACATGATTGTTCCTGGCTTCTCCTCAGTCCTCAGTTCTCTGGGTTTCCTTTGGAAATAAACAACCCCCTCCTGGTTGTCCCAAAATACCTTCTCTGCTCCACTTTGGCTCTGAAAATGTGTGCTGCTGCCCCAGGAGCACCTTGCCTGGTCACCAAGATGCCCTGGAGGAGGCGCCCTGGGTCCAGCGCAGGGCGCAGGATGCAATCTCTAACTTCTGCCCTCAACACGCCAGGCGTATTGTGGAACGCGTCCTGAGCAGGAAAAGGGTGAGGAAAGGACGGTACTGTTTTCGCCAGAGTTATCTTCTCCAACCCAGCTAGTGGAGCCTCCTCCAGGCCTCACAGACCGCGGCCCTCTGGCCCCTGTCACCCAGTCACCAGCCCGATCAGGGAAACTTCCTGGAGAGGCCCTTGGCGCCTGCTGGGTCCCAGATTCCTGACACGGATTCTGGATGAGCCAGTCTGTGGATTCCCGGGGTCCAGCACTCACCCAGCAAGGACGCAGTCAGAATTTTGGCAGCTTCTGAGAGCAAGGGCCCAGGCAGAAGGAAGCAGAAGAGAAGCAGCACTCGCTGCGCCGCCATACTCACTTCTCTTGACGCCGAGGAGACCTGCGCCAGGTGAAGGGATTCCGAGCGCCCCTAGGCTGCACCGAGTGAAGGTCAGGGCGCGTGAACTGCTGCTGCCACATTGGACTGTGGTCAGAGTACGTACGGATCCTGCCTCTCTTTCCCTCCTATCCCTCTCGCCTTTCTGCCCCGCCTTAGTGCCCCTGTCCCAGTACCACTAGCTGGTCTGTCCTCTCCCTCCCTAACAGCAGGAAGCAGGAAACACAAGTTACTCAATTTGATCTGTAAATCCACTCTGTCCTCATAACGTCCCATCTTGGCTAAAAAAAGTCCAAGAAATCAGGTGGATTTCAAGTCCACTTACAAGTGACATGCTCCCAACGCTCTTTTAAAGCCCCCATTCTCCTATTTAAGGCCTTCTGGTGGCGCAGTGCTTTAAGCATTTAAGCATTTAACTTTCAAGCTTTAAGTGCTTTAAGCGCTCTGGCTAACCTTAAGATTGGAACCCACCAGCCACTCTACTGAAGAAAGATGAGGCAGCCTGCTTCCTTAAAGATTTACAGCCTTGGAAACCTTATGAAGCAGTCCTGCTCTGTCCTATAGAGTCACTAGGAGTCACAATCCACCCAATGGCAGTGGGTTTTTTTGCTTTTGGTTCTCAAACATGGTAACCCACCTCCCTTCTAATTGCCTTTATTTACCCCATTCTACCTGCCTCACCCTCTGTTTCCCCAGGTATCTGCTTAACCTCTCTAGGTAGGGTCCCAAATTCAAGAACTCTCTGGAAGGTCAGCTCCACGGAAAAGGGCAACCTGCCAGTTCTGGATTATTTCTCTGAGGGCCTCTTTAACAGGAGAGATAGTCATGAATAGATGCTGGTGTCCCAATGGGTTTAGTACCTCTGGAAGTCCAGATCTTTAAATCAGAGGACTGAACCATGAAATGAGACTATAATTCTGTATTGTGCTTGTTGTTATGTGCCATCAAGTCGGACCGACTCATAGTGACCCCTCCTTGGGTTTCCGAGGCGGTATCACTATGGAAGTAGACTGCCCAACCTTCCTTCTGAGGAGTGGCTGGTGGGTTTGAACTTCCAGCCTTCTGGTTAGCAGTCAAGTGACTTAGGTACTACGCTACCAGAGCTCCTATAATTCTGTGTAAGCTTCAGAAAATGAGATTGGGGAGCTTTCCATAATCTCAAGCAGCTCTTGAAAACAGCTGGCAATTCTGTCCCCTGTGCAATATTGGCCTTGGGGAGGAGACAGCAGGCTACCTCCTGAAGTCCTCTTTGCATTTTCTGGCCCCTTCACTTCAGCAGCAAAAACAGAACAATGAATTTGCAGATCAAAGTTCAGAATGCCTGGGCACAGTACCCATGAGAAAAGAGCTATAGGAAGAAGGAGATCCAGAAATATGCATATGAGTCCCCTTAAATCTCTGACCAAATTCTAGACTGCATAGGTGCAGGGCAAGACTCCCTGAGCCCTGGCAGAACTGAGGTCCACAGATCTCGAGTGGTGGGAGACACAGCAGTTCCAACAGACAGAGGGAGAGACCTCACCCAACACCCTGGGCACATGCCATCTGCTTGTCCCATTATTGGTAATATTGCTAAACTGGTGTCTGCCAGATTTCTCCATCATATTTCCAATTTTTCCCTTTGTGATTACAGTGCAAAGAGTATTTTGAGATTATGAAGTACCATCCAAATTTTACCCACTGGATGGCTTATCCACAGATAATGCTTGCCAAACTAGTCATTAGTATATTGGTTACAAAATGATGATATCCTAAACCCATAACTTTTTGGTATTAATTAGACTAGCATTCTATCACAAGGAAGAGAGTTCCTTTATTGACCATCTCTGTATTTCTTATTATCTGTCTACAGTTTGTCCATGGCAAATCATGGCTTTAATCTCATTATTCAATGAGATTATTCAAGTATATAATTTCCTTCTACCATTATTTGTTTTAATGACCAAATTGTTCTGGAGACTGGTGGCAAGCTGTTCAAGCTGACTCCTAAGTATATTTTAGTGTTTTAGTTGTTGTTGTTGTTATGTGTCGTCCAGTCAGCCCCAACTCATAGTGACCCCTCCTAGGGTTTCCGAGGTGGTATCACTACAGAAGTAGGATTGCCCAAACTTTCTTCAGAGGAGTGGCACTTTTTAAGTATTGATTTGTTTTTCAAAGGACTCCATTCTCTTTTTAAGCATATCCATATTTCATAGCAAAAAAAAAAAAAAAATGCTTTGGGTTTTCTTCCCAGTCTCCTCCCTTCCACACTGTATTTCCTTTCTCCATCAGTGAGAAAAAAAAACCTTGGTTCCTGACATCTCCAGTCAGGAGATGCTCAATCCTACAGTCAGAACATAGGTCTGAATTTTCTAACCCATACCACTGTCGAAAACACAACTGCCAATTGGAGGTTAATATTTATTTGTGGTTGGTACTGTCTTTAGACCGAGAATATATATATATGTTCAAAAGTTAAGTTAATTATTTTTCCCTTCCTATGGTTATGTTAGGAAGGTTGGGCAATCCTACTTCCGTAGTGATACTACCTCAGAAACCCAAGGAGGGGTCGCTATGAGTTGGGTTTGACTCGATGGCACATAACAACAACAACAACATGGTTATGTTAGGAGCTCTGGTAGCATAGTGCCTAAGGCACTTGACTGCTAACCAGAAGGCTGGCAGTTCAAACCCACCAGGCACTCCTCGGAAGGAAGGTTGGGCAGTCTACTTCCACAGTGATACCACCTCAGAAACCCAAGGAGGGGTCGCTATGAGTCGGGGCCAACTCGAGGGCACATAACAACAACAACATGGTTATGTTACTGTTCTGGTTACCTAGTACTGCTCTGACAGGAAATATACCACAAATGGGATGGCTGAACAAACAGGAGTTTATTCTATTACAATTTGGTGGCTTTAAATCCAAGTTCCAAGTGCCAGGCTCTAGGGGCTAGATGAAAGCCCCTCAGCCTTGGACTTCAACTCTGCCTCCAGCTCCCGGCCCACTGAAGCTAGAAGTGTTTCTTCACTCAGACAGCTGCTGGCTGCTGACACTGAGAAGCCAACGATGACAAGTAAAAAGGCACAGTCCCGATGTTACCAAACGACACGCAGGTCATTAATTCAAGTTCATTTTAAGTCTCAAGGTTGGCAGAGCATGGCAGGCTGTTGAACAATGACACGGCTACCTGCAGGGTCCAAGTGTGTCATAAGCTAGAGACCATTCCCAAAGCTGCTTCTTATATACAGAAGCAGACCACATACCCAAAGGCAGCTACTTAGCTGCTCACAGTAGATTCCATGGAGTTTATTACCAGTCCCATCATGGGGAATACTGCATCCAGCTGCCCAGCCACTCAACCAGGCCCAGCCAAGTTGACATACAAACATAACCACAACAGTTACTTATTGAAAAACAGATTTGTTTATTTTTCTTTTTATTCTATTTTAGCCACCCCCACTGTTGTTAATGTGATTTAACCTTTGATTTTGTAAAACAACAATATGAATCTAAACATCAAAACTATCTAAGAAGGAAGGATCACTTATAGATGGTCAATTTCATTATTTTCTCGTTGATGTTTCCTCATTTCTTTTTGAAAAAAATAAACAAGTACCTAGATGGTACCCTATCTTTTTTACACAAAAAGTATATCTAGAAACTCACTCCTTATCAGTTTGTACAGATTTTCCTAATTCTTTTACATAGCTGCCTATTACTCCATTGTACAGTTGGCCATAGCTTCTTCAGCAAATTTCCAACATATGGACATTTAAATTATTCCCAAAATTTTTCAATTGATTGAAAATAATGCTGCAAAGAGCAGACGCACTTTCATATTGTTGGAGATGTGTCCCAGATAAAGTCCTACCTGTAGGGTACTGTGTCAAAATGAAAATGCGTATGTAGTTTTGTTAGATTTTGCCGAAACCTGTGCGTGAGGTTTTATCATTCTGCTTTCCCACCAGTGATGCTGACGATGCCTATTTCTGCACTCCCCACCACAGTGCCTGTGCTAAATCTTTGTAATGTTTGCAAATCTGATAAGTGAGAAATGCTATCAGAGTATAAGGAGCTCTGGTGGTATAGTAGAAAAGGCATTTGGGTGCTAACCTGAAGCTCAGAGGTTCAAACCCACTAGACACTCCATGGAAGGAAGATGGGGCAATCTACTTCTGTAAAGGTTTACAGCCTCAGAAACCTAATGGGGGTTGCTATGAGTAGGAATAGACTCTATGACAGCGAGGTGTTTTTTTTTTTCCTTTTCAGTATCAGAGGGTAGTTTTAATTTGCATTTCTCTAAATGTGGTAAAGGAAAGCATCTTTTCATATGTCTAAGGGCCATTTATAAAAGGTGTGTGTTTGTGGGTGTGTGCGTGTGTGTGGATTTTCTGTCTTGACTTTTGCCCTTTTTTCAATTGGGTTCTTCATTGATCTTTTTTCCATCAATTTTTAAAAATACTTTATTGTCATTTGGGTGAAAGTTAATAGGGCAAATTAGTTTCCCAATTAATAATTTATTCACATTTTGTTCCGTGACATAAGTTGCAATCCCCTCAATGCAGCAGCACTCTTTCCACTTCCTTCCTCATCCCTCCTTTCCATTTGCCCATATTTCTAACACCTTCCTGCCTTCTTAACTTTGTTTTCAGCAAAGCTGCCATTTTGGTCTCCTATGGTTGAATGTTCAGAGAAGCATGTTTCTCATGAGTGTTACTGTTCACTTTATAGGCCTGTTTCCTATTTGCTGAAAAGTGATCTCCAGGAGGGGGTTCAGGTCCAGGTTTGAAAATTTTTGAAAGAACCCAACATGGAATCCTTGTTGGGGATTCCACGAGTGTCTACCAGGCCACTAAGTTTGGCCTTTTAATGATTTTGAATTTTTTTCTACATTTTTCTCCTATTTGTATAGGACCTTCTATTGTAATCCTGATAAGAGCATTCAGTAATGGTAGCCACCACACTTGCTTTTCAGATTTTCATACTGTGGTAG